TGTCCTTTTCACCTACTATTTCCATGTTTCTCTGCAGCAAGCATCCAATTGAAATTCTAGTTCATTCTCCAGCACCTAAGTGCTCTTCCGTCCAATTCTCATACAGCGTACCTCCTCGAGAAGCGACTAAGCTTGATATAAAGGCAAACTCAACGCATTCTAAAGCTATCTGAAAAATCAATGCAGAAAAACGTTGAATATTAATCAAAAAATACGAGCAATGAATGGAGAGAAGACTGTAAACAAAAATCAAAGCGTCAGAACTAAGCTTTGGTTTGCTGAAAAAATTGATGACAAACATCGCTGCTTGGGTCGGCGAATTAATATCGGTTTCAAATAAATAAAGGCTTTTATTGGCACTGATTGATAAAGAAATGACGAAAGTTCAGCCATCACTCAGCAGTCATTTTCGCGAAACACTATCAATTTTAGGGGTTCTGTGGCAAGCAGTATAAGTGGTCCAAATTTCAATTAAAAAAAAAAGCCGTTTAATCCCGTAATCTTATGTTTAGTGAAATACGCGAGAGATTTCATACGATGTTGAGATAATATACGATTGGCGGATGTTTGAGTACAAAAGGTAAATTTTCAACTAAAAAAAAAAAATCTTTTTATTATTAAAAAAAAAAAAACAGTTTAAATTAACTTAGTATTAAGTTATATCCTATGCACTTCACTAGAAAACGTTGTTCCAAAATACTACAAAAAATGTATACGTGCAAGTAATTTATATTCGGTCGTAACCGAATCTTCTGTAGTCATCATTATTCTAAAAAGAACTAAAAAAGAGAAAACAACTAAATTTTGATACTATATAATATTGGCTGGGCGTGGCTCATTTTTCCTATTTTCGAAAAAAAAGTGGAAATTCATACCGTGTTCCTGTTGTAGTTTATCGGTAACAAGCAAAAAACATGAAAAGCAAAGATGTTCGCAGTTCTCTAGCGCGGGCATATGAGGGCTCTAGGCGTACTCTTTGGCTGATATGGGTCATTTTCAAAATCTTTAGCGGTATCTTCATTTTTAAAAAGGGGGGAAAATATTTATCGTTGATCATGTAAAGCTGGACAGATGGGCAGATGGACAAACAAGCAGACGGATATGTTTAGGTGCATTCCGAAGCTGTAAGTGGGCAAAAATCTACATACTTTACAGGTTTTTTGAAGCGTGTCTCTACGCATTATAAAGTGATTGGAAAGATTATTAAGTTTTAATACACCTTAATATTGAGCAGGCGTGGTCCGTTCTTTCCGTTTTTATACAAATACTACAGCATCGCTTATACAATAATAACAAAATTGTTGAAACCAATAGGAGAAAGCTGTCGCGCAGCAAAAATATAAAAACTGATCTTAATCTCCACAGCTAGCAGATCATCTCTTCCGAGGCACACTTTCGGCAGATTAATATGGAAGAAAAGTGCACTATTCGGGTATCATACAGTAGATAAGTGAAAAACATTTGTATATAAAAATATTGCCCAAGAAATGTCAGAGGAGAAAATTTCTTTCTTGTAAAACAAGCATAATGGAACGAGTACTTGGGGAAATAGGTAAAGATTATCATAGAAAATTTTAGATATCAAACATAATCGCAACATTGAGTCAAACATTCAATTCAAAGTATTTATGGATCTTTATGATTGTAAATATGTTTGTTGTGCATCAGCTTAAAGAACGGGATTTTATTCGAGTTCTTGAACGTCACTAACACTCCCCTGATTTACTTCTAGATATGCAAAGATTTATAAGAAACTTAGGAAGAGAACTAAGTTTATGAAAATCCAATTGAATGATATTTTGCATTTAAAGCACATATGCTTTTCGCTAAGGATTTATGCTTATACTCAATAATAAATAAGGAGGCAAGACCAACATGCTGACTAAAAGTGATTTAAGCATACACACTACAATCATAAATTCAAATAAACTCTAGAATATGATACGTGCAGCTCGGCTTTTTTATTGTTTTTTTTTTTCTTATGCCCATCAACGAAGCATGAGAGATATACTCAGTTTGTCAAAATGTTTGCAACGCCCAGAAGGAAACTTCAGAGATCTCACAAAGTATATATATATATATATATATATATATATATAGATTGTTGCTCAGCCTCCAATTTTTAAACGATTTAAGCATGTTCATCTGTCCGTTTCGCTGTCTGTCCGTATGTCCAATATCTATTATAAAAAACTGTCTGTGGAAAAATAAAATTGTCGGCTTAAAAGGATCGGAAATTCTTGCACGCAGTTTCCTATTGATAATGAGCCAAATCGGTTGAAGAACCTGCCTATAGCGTCATGTGAATTGAGAACATCTCTATCTTCTTCTAAAGGAATAGGAAATTGCTTTTTGCCTATTACTCATAAACAGCAGCAGATAAATCTACAACAACATGAACTTTTATTCCGTTTAGTCGATGCTGTAGTACCTGTACGAATATTGCAAAAAGTGATAACGCCCAATCAATATTAAGGTGTATCAAAATTTATATTTCTTTTCAATAACTTTGCCTCTGCAAGTTTCAAAAATCATGTGAAGTATGTACACTTTTACCCAGTTGCAGATTCGGAATACACTTAAGCATGTCCAACTGTCCGTCTGTCTAACTCTATACCATCTCCGATAAATGTTCTTCTTTTTGCAAAAAAGCAGATATCGCCTACAAATTTGCCAAAGAATTTGAAAATGACCTGAGTAGAGAGCGTGCCTACAGTTCCCACGCTTCTTTGCCCCCAAAACTGAGCTGTTCGTGTTTTTTTTTCCTTCTTGCTGACAAGACTACACCAGATATACCATATAAATTTCTAGAAAATTATTCTAGAACAACCAAGTCCATCCAAATTCAAATATTTTTTCTTATTTTCAATCTTCTATAAGATAGCGACTATGAGTATAAAATATTCGATTGTGACCGGTTGTAATTTTCTTACTTGTTCTTTATTTTTTTTTGTTTTATAATCAGCATAAAAAGCAATGTGAAGTGAAGTTAGCAATCGATAAGTAGGGGTAATGAAAAGGAAAATCGCATAAATATATAGAAATGAATTTTGCTTCATTGTTTTTTCTATTATTATTATTATTAATATTATTTTTAGAGCTTTACTATCTAATAATGTGGAAAATATTGTTATTACAATTCGATAGTAGATTCCTTGTTGTCGCGCAATCATGTATATTATTTTATTTACCTTTTCCGTTTTCATAAATTATCAAAAGAAAAACAAAAAAAAAATTGTTTCCTTTTTTTTCATTTATTATTCGGATAATCAATTTATATTGTTATTTCTTTTTTTTGTTTTTTCATTTAAAGACATAATGACGACATCAAGGACACTCTACGATAACGCGTCTATTGAAACTATGTCATACAATACATATTCATAAAAACATATATACGCGTATGCATAAACACACACACACACACACACACACAAACACGCAAACATAAAAGACACATTTTTCTATTTTGCTATGTTTCATATATAATATTTAGGGCTCCATTACAATAACAAGTTTTATATATTTTTAGTGAAGTTCTTTTTTTCACTCTTACGATGCCTTATGAAATGAGGGAAAATGATGAGAAGGTCTTCAGATGTCTGACGCCGCGTCTGACGCCAAAAAAAAAACAAAAAAAAATTGAAATAAAATACTTATATATTTATATATACATATATATATATATAAAATGCAGAAACACAAGCACGCAGTCACGCACGCATACAGGCACATCGAATTTAAACTTTAGTGTACATTTAACCCCAAATGTTTTTTTGAAACATTCTGCTAAGAGCAGAAAAAGAATAAAAAAAAAGAAAAAGAAGAAGACTCACTCACCTCTAACTATTTAAGAAATTGACCTTAAGAATAATATAATAAAAAAAAAAAAAAATTGTTATTATAATGACTTTACTTAAATTTTATTTTTATCTTTTATTTTTCATTTAAAAAGTCTTTTACTTATTGTATATGCAAACATATATATATATATATATAATAAATATATATATATATATTATACAATCGAACTCAGATTACGATAGTGTTCTTTATGTATCTTTTATATCATTCGCTTAATTTAGCTTAGACTTCATACCTAACGGTTTCGAAGAAAATTTTTTAATTTATTGCTTTTTTTTTTCTTTCTTTTCATTTAAATCTTTATTTCCTTCCTTCTTTTTTTTCATATATTAATCACTGTAATGCTTTGTAAATTTTTGTTTTCACTTCAATTTCATTTGATTTGTTTTTCTATTTTTTTTTTATTCGATTTTTCGCATAAAGATGTTTAATGTTTTGTTATTATTATTATTTGTGTTGTTGTTGTTTTTGTAGTTGATTTTTTGCAGTTCTTTTTGCTTTATTTATTTATTTATTTTTTTTTTTACTTTAATACTTTATAAATATTTTTACCACACATCTATTTGATTGAAAGGCTGAGGACGGACTAGACATTTTACGTTTATTTCGCAGACACTTGTAGTTTTCATTTTTATCAAAACAAAGCAGCAGAAAATTGTATACACTTTCCATGCTCAAGGAAGTAAAGGAAAACTTACCATACAGAAATTGAAACTTTAGAAGAGAAAGCTTAATATGAAGAGAAACTTTTGGGTTTTTTCTAAGAGAAATGCTCTTCAAACTGTTTGCGCTGTTTTGGCGAAAGGAAGCTTTTTTTGAATTTACGCTTAAGAGCATTACTCTCAAGTAGGAAAGAACTTTGTCAGTATTTCTTTGGGTTCAGCTTAGGACGAATAGTCAGTAGTCAATACTTTACCAGATCTTGCCAATGAAAATTTTTATACCATACGCCACTAGCAACGAATATATATAGTAACATGTAACGATGTATACAATAATCATACATCTATATTGCATTATACGGTTCGATTTGGAATTAATTTTTAGAACCACTAAGGTATATCTGTCCGTCGGCCTTGATGAGGTTTATCGCAACTATTTGTTGTGTTCAAACTACAGCACACAATTTATTACCATCATCGTGGGACTTTTTTCCAAACACCTTGCCTTATAAGAACTCCTGGGAAGAGCATGTCTTTATATGGGAACGAGATTTAATTTGTAGTATCTTATCATTAAAACGAGTACCTTTCGAGTGTAAAATATATAGAAACTGCAAAGAATTGTAGGCGTGTCAGTTAAGACAATTAAATCAAACGTTTCTCCCTTTTTAGAGACCTTCAGAAAATATTCTAGAGAATATATTAGAAAACTAAGTTCCGAACAAGGCCTAGTGTCTTACTTTCTTCTGCCCATCAAAATTGTCAGATTAATTAAATATATTGCAGGTTTTAAGATTTTATATATATGTAGTATATATTCTTTTTACGTGTATAAATTTTTTTTATCTCGAAATGCTTTACATCTTTATTTTGTTGCTCTTTGCATTCTTCTTTCCTCTCCATGCCGAACGTTTTCCAAATGCGAGAGAATAAGATTGAGTGCAAGCTTTAAGTGAACTGTTCCGTTACAAATTAACTTTGTTAGTTAAGAAGCTAACATGCTTTGTATCCATGGTATATAAGAGTTTACATTAACATAAACACCTGGTATCCCAGGGGCAGCACAACCGATTCCCCAAGCCACCAAACCCAACACATACCAAATACCATTATTTTCGCACACCAACGGTGATCCGCCATCGCCCTAAGAAGCAAGTAACACCAAATTGATATGCAATTAAATAAATTGATTTCAATTATAATACTTTACCGTGCAAGCATCTTTTCCGACCTCACCGCCTGCGCATATAAAGCTTAAATTGTTTAGGATAAAGCGAGATCCTAAACGTGTTTTTCTCAAAGCTGTTTGGCAATTGTCATTAGATAAAACGGGTACTTGGACCTCACGTTGTATGGATTGATAAGCTCCAGTGGGACCGAAATCACTTTTACCCCAACCAGCCACGTAACATCGTTGACCCTGTTTTAAAGGTATTGTGGGCAAACAAACTGTACCAACCGTTGATTTGGTGACCAATGAAACCGGATTAACCAATTTCAATATGGCTACGTCATTTTGTAGGTTATTCTTATTGAAATTTGGGTGAACGTAAACTTTGGAAACTGATACATCTTGCGCAGGTACAGGCTCATTTGTGCTAGCAGCATCCCATTCACCTACGCGGACTTTAAACGACTTTTCCCTGCAATTATACAGATATAAGATGCAAATTATTTAGATTCTGTAATATTGATAACGAATATATAGGTTGATCAAAAAGTTGTGAGAAATCAGTATTTCTTCACTCTCTCTCTTTCTCTTTCTCTCTCTCTCTCTTTCTTTCCCTCTCTTTCTCTCTCTTCTTCAATATTTCATGCATTATAAAGTAGCGGCTTTGTTGTTTATCAGGTTCCCTTCGGCAATTTCTAGTTTGAGAAATGCACATGCATTTCCTCCCCTTTAACTCATCTGCTGGGCATCGTAGATCTTGAGTATGCTGCAGCAATGGTTGCTTACTTTAGTTGCAGCAGTACCCCGACAGTGTTGTATTTCACTGAAAATTTTTGGAAAGGTCAGAAATCTCAAACAAAATTTCTCTCCAATTAAAGTTCACTTCTAAGTTTTTGTAGAACCCATAATAAGAAGCGCAGATCTCTTCTCGGCCTTTCTGAAAGTCTATGTACCATTCATAAATTCGTGACTATAGTAAGCTGTTATCCACAAGTGCGTCTTTCAATATTTCTACGACGTTTTCAAGTTTTTGGCGCACGATTCTAAGAGAACTCTTTAATTAGTTTCCGAAAATATCTCATACGCTCGCCAGACGCAGCCCGATAAGCTGCATGAAACTGTCCGTAGATAATCTCTTGAAGAAAAGTAGTTCACTGGTGCTGGCAACCAGGAAAGTATGGAGAATCCGAAGCAAGTACGGTTGTTTTTAACAACCGCCCAAAGTATGCCAAAGGCTTTGCAAAACAAACTGGGAGCCACGGGGGTCAGAAAGCTCGCCTCTCAAAGCCACGTATGCCTGCGGGTATATGATGGACTTTGTCCTTAAGTCGTAATAAATAAATTAATTATACTATTAATGCAAAAAGGAAGTGACGGATGGCCTTCCCTTTGGCCGATTGATAGAAAATATCTGGTAAATTAATTAATACATGCAAAAATGGAAAAGGGATATGACGAATAAGTTTTCCCCTTTTACCTATTTTTACTTTTGAACACATGTCACGGATGCCTGCGGGTAATGGTGGTAATTGATCAACAGCACAGTGGAAGCCTTATGGCGGAAGCAGTCAGTTGATCAATTTGTGAGTCCTGACTGCTTGGGTGCGGCCCTTCGGGGAGTACTCGTGGTGGTTGTGGTTGGCGAGTTCCTAGCTAAAATGGAACAATTGAGTGCAGCTAGGCCTCGCCATTGACCAGAGTGGACTTTATTGTTCCATACACAATAAACTGTTCTGGACTCTGGTGCTGTTTAGGCCTCTACTCTGTGGGGATTGTCTAACTCGCCAGGGGGCGTAGTACGCTTAAAAGTGGCTTGGGCCACCGTGGGGTTAAGCCTTTCAGGCAGGAACCCACGTTAAACCCTAGCTACAAATTCTGTCCGTAGATAATCATATGTTCACTATGTTGATAAAGTGCTACAAAAGTACACAAAAGCAGTTAACTCTCTATAGAAAATGTAGAGCTCGCAAGTTAAAAATCCTCCGTACTTTTTGATCAAATAATACATCTTATAGTTTTTACTTACGGTATGTTATGAACTTTATGAGCCGCGGTTAGAACATGTTGACTTGTCAACAAAGCACCGGAACCTATATATATATCTGCGGTTGTTAATAATGCCACCTGCCATGGATAGTCTCCAAAATTGGCTTGACCTAGACCAGCTTGTTTACTGCCCGGCGGTGGTGGATACCGACGACCACACTGATATGAGCCAGCTTGACAACATACTTCTAATCCATAATTACAAGAGAATGAAGTTGTCGGCGTACCAGAAGAAGCGGCCTAACCGGCGTCGAAAAAACAAAAAAAAATGTTTTCTAAACATTAAACATCACAATAGCTTATGTAGTTCCCATACATTATTAACAATGCGTACATCAATTTGCCCGCTACCATCCGTAGACGGTGAGGGCAAAGGGCTTGGACATGACCCTGGTGGTACACAAATGCAAAACGATGCTGTTGGCGTAACTATATTCGGTGTTAACTTGCCGATGATTAAGTGACGCAAAAGAGCTGAAAATTCGATAATTAATTAAAATGAAGAAAAAACAACACTAATAAAACTATGATCGGTCGTGACCGAATCTTTTATACCCATCATTGTTATGCTAAGAAAAACAAAAAAAGTAAAAGAACTATGAGTGGGCATGGTGTGGAGTGAGCAAGGCTGGTTTTTTCCATTTTCAAAATAAAAGCTTTTGTCATAGAGGCCTGTGGGCGTTGTAGGTACATCGTTTCAAAAGTTTGGTTTACTTCCAAATTCCTTTGCAAATCTGTAAGCGATATCTTTATTTTCGCCTACGGGAAAGTGTTGACCACAGACATTGCACACTTTGCCAGACAGCCAGATAGACACTGTTAGGTACATTCAAAATTAGAATTTCACCAAGAATTTATAAATTTTGTGGAGTTTTTGAAGCTTATTTCTGGGGTTTGTAAAGCTATTGAAAGAAAAAATTAAATTTTGATACAAGACAATATTGGATAGCGCGATGGCAGGATAAATCTTTTTTGCGTCTCTGTACAGGTACTACAACATCGGCCAGGGAATATGCTTTCAAATTTTAGTGGATTTATCTGCTGTAGTTTATGAGTAATGAACACAGAAGTGTTCTCAGCTTCCGTAGTACTGCAGGCCAATTAGGCCCATTTGCATTATCAACCAGTGTGCAAAATCTTCGAATGTTTCTGCCAAATTCAAAGTCGATAGCTTCATTGTTGCGGTTAAGAGAATGTTTACAACTAACATTGCACCGACGGACAACCTCACAGGTGGACAGACGGACATGCTTAAATCGTCTTGGAATTTGTTGCTGATTTAAGAATGTATATAATTTATGGTGTCTCTGATGTTTCGACAAATGAATATATTCCTCATTCTTCGGTGATGGGCATAAAAAAAGTTTATTCTATTTTCCGAAACACAGAAAATATCTTTCCAACTTTTCTTGGAACAGATAGACCGTTGAATACTGCCTATATACTATACACTAACCAAAGTTGAGAATTTAAAAAGATCTAAAAATTTTAAATTTTCATTATAGAATCTTAACTATTTATATGGTAAGGGGGTTCGAAAAATGCCTGTTTTCCATGCAAATTTTCCACATTCATTTCGTACGCCAATCATCAATTTTTATGTTCCATATTATCCGTAGTACAGGATATGTAAGATTTATATAGACATATATATAATAATCAAATTCAGAATCATTTTCGGAATTGAGTCAAGCTTGTTAACATATTTTCATCTAAGAACAAATACTGTGTAGAATGGGAGAATGGAATTCGCACTATCTTTACGATCATTCCATATATAAAGCCTTTCGAAAAAAAATTTCCAAATTCTAAAATGTATCGAAGAAAATTGGTAAATACTAGTTTTCCCGCGTACTAAATGTAATGTGAAAAATTTGGACCCCATACGCCAATAAGTGAAATCTCCTCCAGTACCAGCTTTCATAGGAAGCTGTGTCTTTATAAAGCACTAAAGCGTAATTTTTAACATTTTACAATGAAAGTCCATCTAAGCGTGTGATTTGACTTATAAATTTCCCATGGTTACTTTGGATTATATACATTCTAAAAATAAAAAAGGAAACCTTTATTTGCCACAAGCCTGTTTCTATTTTTTTTTTTTGTACTTTGTAAAGCAAATAGGTAAAGACAAGTCACAGTAAGCGAAGTCATGCAGAGTATTGCTTGATTAGCCTTATCCAAATAGATTTATATGAGGAGCAGTCGTAACAAGTATCCGGTCCAAAGCATTTTCAATAGATTGCATCCTTGTAGCAAAACTAATATGACATCTCTATCTTGATAGTTTGAGCGTGTGGATGGAATACAAGAACAGATAGATATGGAATAAGTAGAGTACCAAATTAATACGTTCCCTACTACAGTGATATTGAGTGTTATAAGTCAATTGCACCTTGACTGGTAGGCATATGCATCCTACAAATCGAAATTGAATTGGTTCGAAATTTTAACGCCCTTAGTTCTCGATCTCAGTTACTATCACAACTATATTGTCCTCCTGCGGTCCTACTGATAGAGGATTTGGAAATTCTACCATCTGTGCGTAAGAATAGATTATTGCGTGTCTTTAATCACTACTACGCTACAGATGTACAAATATTTACTAAAAATTGGTTATTTCTATAAATCTCTCGGGTGACATGCAAACCAAATTATCCGCAAATTAAAATTTTGTTTATATTTTATACCGATAATATATATGTTAATAATGACTTACATAGATGACGTTGAGAACGATAAGCTAAGTAAAAAAAAAAATATAAAGCTGGAAAAATGACAATAACTTTTAAGCAATCATATGCATGTATTGTCACATGTCAGTTAAATCCAATGACCTACACTGTAACTACTCTATGTTAATGTTGTAAAATTGCCTGTAATCGATCGCTGTTTCCATGACCTTAATTTTTATACAAATCCTTGCAATACACAAATGAAACGAAATAAAAAAGGATTCTGCCTACAATCTTGATTGCTATAAAACTCTGCAACCACGACCATCTGTCTTTTCTATATTTAATGAAAGAAGAAAACAGAAGAAAGCGGAGATTCAACCTAAGGCAAATATATATTGCGTCTATGTATAAGGTCATTGTAAAGAAAGTATATATATATTTATATGGTCTCGCCTATCATAGAACGCATACTATAAATATCCAATTTGAGGCAGATTGTAAGCTTGGTGCTCCATGAACTATTCATACAAAAATCTAGTCCTGCAAAGCGTCCTTAAAATATTAGAATGTTTTCCTTCGAGGCGAATAAAATATTCACATGACCAAGCCATCAATTTATTATTTTATGAATGCGTATTAGAAAGTCCTTACCAGGTAGTCACTGCAAATAAATTTCCTATAAATCTTCCTTGCCGGCGTGATGTATTGAGTTAGTGTAGCCATGTACATCCACCTGACCTATGGTCATTTACTCAAATTGCGAAAATTAAAATAAAAAACTAGGTCTTAATACCTAAGCATGATTAAGGGCCAGAGTTTTTTAAATTTAGAAAAGAACGTGATGCTCCCACAACACTATAAGTTCGAAGAAACCTCGGAGAAAACCAACTTTTAATATCATTCGTAATGAAAGACCTTGCAGGTCGTATGCGAATGATTCCGGTCTGATACGTTTTGAAGTTCCCTCTCCTTTCGGACACCACCTATCAGAGATGTAAAGCGCATTATGAAAGCTGGAATTTTTACGATGACATTTAAAAAAAGTATTCATCATCATTGTCTTAAGGAAATACTTATTTCCGAAAAGCCAGAATAGCGCGCAAGGTCTAGCGAAACTAATATATATTATTAAGCGCAGCTAATAAGTACGTAGTTAGTACAAGTCCGTATTCGCAATTTTGCAGGAAACTTCTTTGCAAAGATTTCAATTCCGAAAATGTTACTTACTCTAATCAGCCAATCAAAACTAGTGAGGTTTAAATAAATACTTTCATCATTTAAAGATTGCAAAGTTCAGACATAACCTCAATATTAGCGAATATTATCTAAGAAAAGGGTTATACAAGCGAACAAGTATTTGTTTGAAATGGTTTGCAAAATATTTCGTCTAAAATTCTTCCTGTTTTCTGATAGTTTTCGACTGGCGTTTGAAGATATCAAAGTTCAGAGAGACCATCGCGTATGCAAGTGGAAGTGTAAATCTTTATTAGAAGAATTTCGAGAACCTTTTTTTTTCTTGCTCTTATTAGCTACTCCTTATTGTTCTTTATCAAATCAGTCGTCATTTTAAGATTTTAGAAATCGAATATAACCTCAGTACGGATTGATAAGCATCATGTACAGAAAGATCAACATAAGGATAAGACCTTGTCAAGTAGTTTGCGAAATTAAGTGACGAAAGTTTGTATGTATATGATTTTGCTTATCCACGCCTAAGTCTATGGCAAATTTATACTTTCATCACCTGCTCGATTGAAATTTGAAAACCTCAAATATTGAGCATAACGTGAAGACATAACATACGTGGCTTGTATGGGGAAAGGAATAAAAAGGGGTGCCTCCAATAGCTTACAAAGCTCTACCGAACATGACTTCAATTTCGGAAATTTTCTGCCAGTAAAGATGACTTGGAACGACTTTGATAAATAAAAAATCAGTGATAATCTCAACTGTTTCGCAATAATTTTACATAAATTTTTACTCGATATTTGTCAGAGTTTTACGGAAAGGCCTACTACTTGAACCTTGCTTTCCATTCTCATTTCTGTTTATTTAAAAAATTTCACTTTAGTAAATTTTATTGAAATTTCTTTGAAATCCTTATCGGCCATAGTAAATCGCAAGCCTTTAAAATTAACTAAAACGCGCTACCTGTACCTGATGAGTCAGTTGATGTTGCCATTTCGCCAGCCGAATTTAAATCCAATGAATCGAATGAAAAAGTTTTCAAAAACTTATTATTCTTGTTTTGATAATCGCTAGTTAAATAGTTTAATCCTTTTACCGATGTCATGTAATCACAGCTTGAGACAAACACCGTAAATATAACAGATGTGATCCTTATATAGTAAAACATGCTTTGCATCTGTGATTTTTGCTTTATACAGTGGATTTGTGCAGAAAATTGAATACCGTTCCGTTTGCTTAAAAGGAAATCCTGGCGCGTTATTAAAAATGAAAAATGAACGAAAAAAAAAATCCGAAAGATAACTGTATGTAAATCGAAGAGAACGTTTTCACATTCTACCGAAACCACACAAGTAACTGAAAGCATTGAAATGCAACAAACGTTCTTATATATATGTGTTAAAGGAAATCACTGAGGTGCTATTCTGTGCTATTCATGCATACATACATACATACATGCATACACACTTACATGGCTATTCATACATTTTTAGAGCAACTAGTAAAAGTAATTTTTGAAATTGTAATATTTTATATAATACTTAAAAGGTTTAGGAAACAATATGTGCGCGTTCGTATGCATAAACGTGTCAGAGTTTTATTGTTAGCATTTGCGCTAGAAAGTATATTAGTTTTGTGTGGACGTACGCAACATCCAAAAGGATTTGAGATTGAACCATCTTTTATTGTACCAAACGATTTGGAATCATTTTCTGAATTGATCTAAGTTTGTGCGTCCGTTTGTCCACATATATTTTTGTGTTCAATTCACAGATCGATTATTGAAATGATTTGATGAAATTTGTTAGATCAATGTACTTTGGCCTTAAGACCGACCGTACTGAAAATGGTTCAGATTGGACCACTTTTAGGACAGGCCCCAATATAAAACAACTTTTGTCATTTCCAAAATTTCGCAACAATAATTGCTTAGTAGTAATACATCGCCATTCTATAATAAATTGGTGTGCAAAGCTTGGATTGGATTTAGTAAATTTTTAAATCCATTCGCCAGATTAGTGTTCCTAAAGGAAACGGTAAAAAAGTTTAACTTTCCGTCATTCTGGCTGAAAATTCGTTCATAGTAATAATTTGACATAAAAACTAATCTTATCAAATTTGAATCCCAATCCACAAAATCCGTTACATACCCTATACCACTTCACGTAGTCCATTTATTTGCTCTTTCGCTAACCAAAAAGTACATATGAACACCGTTACTGGACCTGTAGCTTTTTTTACTGAAAAGCTCCTATGAGTTTATAAGATCTCATAAAGTATCTTATATGGGGTTTGGCGAAGAAGTAGACCCATGCGCTTCAAATTAGGTCCACCTAATTATACCATACACCACTTGTAGTACAGGGTATAATAAGTTAGCGCGGACGCATGTAACACACGGAAGACCCACCTTTTATTATACTGATCGATTCACAATTACGATCTGAACTGCTTTAAGCTTGTCTGGGTGTCAAACTTGTGCCTATATAAATTTATATTCAAGCTACAGATAGTTACTTCTTGAGATATTTTGATGAGATTTGGTACATTGACGTCTTTTGACCCAAGCACGAACGCTGTTGAAAATGGTTCAGATCGCTCAACTTTTTCGACCACGCCCCTTATGATGCCCTGTTTTGAACAATCGTTATGTGGAAAAAATTTGCAATTTTCAGAATTTCTCGACGAAAGTGGTTAAGTAGGAGTCTTTCGGCATTCTAAATTGATATGGGAACTTTGGATCGTCCAGGGCAATTTTTGAACCCCCGTATCATACAACGGAAACAGTAGTTCAAACGGCAGAAATCTATGATATTCAACGTTTCAAGGTGAAAATTATACCATAATAGTAACAAATTTGAACCATGCCGGTCTCTCTTTTGGATCCTACACTCATAACGATTTTCATAAATATCCCTTTTAGAGCAGAAAAGTCTAAGTTTTAGTATGTGGTGATGAAAATTGACCCATAATAGTAATTTCATATGAAAATATACTTTCGCGACTTTGGGCCATCTACGTCTATTTTCTTGCTTGTTTATTTAAAATTTCTCGTATATTTTACTTAAAATTCTCTAATCTATGACTGAAAGTCGTATAAATTTATTCTTTATTTAAGCTTATAAAGATTAAAAATGGCCATTTTCGGCCCGCATTGTAATGTTATGATCGGCTACTAGGCATAAAAGAAAGGGATGCGTATTCTTATTATAGTTGTTTCGATTTTATATTAATTTTGATATTTCGCAGGATATCAACTTTATTGTAAAAGTAGATTTTTAAGTCCCCCAAACCAAGCAGAAAAAAAATATCTTGTGACTTATAATGTCTTTGTTATTTTGCTCTGATTACCACTATTAATATAACAACATATTTGCACCGCATAATTATCCGGTACTTTATCGTTACCATTACCGTTTCGTATTTACCGGCAGATAAGTTCTCGCACATAAATATATTTATTTTTGTTGTCATATTCTCTCTAAATTAATGTCAGAAATACTAATCGTTACGCTTTACCACCTTTTGATGGCTTTTATGCCAAATATTTGAAGCATTGCAAATTAAATGTAACGCGAAATTTGCTACGACATTTTAAGAGAGTATTCATTGAATTTCACAACGCATATCTAAGTCCCCAAACGAGTCAAAGGACAACTCAAAGGCAACGCCCAACCACCCACAAAACAAAAACTCTGAACACCGTTGCTTTCCGTGTTTTTTGCTTGTTACTCATTAAACGCAACACATACACTATGTCAATCTGTTCGTCCGTCTATCTGTCCGTCTGCCCAACTGTGTAGTACCTGTGCTAAACATCTCCCCGTTCGCAAAAACGATGGTATTGCCTACAAGTTTGCAAAAGAATTTGAAAATAATCCAAATCTTTCAAAGGACACGCCTACAACGCCCACAAACCTAGATAACAAGACCCGTAAACACCGTTGCTTTCAGTGTTTTTGCTTGTTACTCATAAAATACAACACATACACCAGTCAATCTGTTCGTCCGCCCAACTGTATAGTACCTGTTCGCAAAAACGAAAGTATTGCCTACAAGTTCGCAAAAGAATTCTGTCAAAGGACACGCCTACAATGTCACATTCCTACACAATAAAAACTGTGAACACCGTTGCTTTCTGTGTTTGTTGCTTGTTATTCATAACAGTTACAGCACAACACACACACTCCCTACTTATTTTGAAGAGAGAACAAATCAACCTGACCCACCCAATGTTATAAAGTATGGAATAGTTTAGGATAATGATGATGGGCGTAAAATATGCGGTCACGGTCGCATATAATTTGCTTACTTGTTTCTATGACAATTTGAATACACCAAAAAAAGTCAAATCGATTCCGATTTTTACATCGATCCATGCATATATACAGATAATTTTCTTAGTATATATTTTCAATATTTCTGAATATTACAAACCAAGATATAAGTCTAGTTTGCCTTCAGTCTACGTTGCGAATTAAGTTACTTTAGTTATGGTTTGCATCACGTAGTCGACAGCAAACAACAACAAACATGTTTTGCTTATTACATCTTCATGGCTTGTTTGATAAATTGATAAATTATTCTGTTAACAATTTGTTTAACAAAATTCTTGAATTGAATCCAATGAATGATTTTCAATAGACACAAATATAATTAAATTTTTTAATGATTTCAATAATTATCACATTTTTTATTTTGAATGAAAGCTTTTTTAATAGATCAATAATCAAATCATTCCGAATTATTTTCGATATTATTTATGTATTTTAACAAAGGAAATTGTATATGTTGTAAGATTTTGAGAGTATATTTCACTCCTAACGAAAAAAAAGTACGATATTCATTCGAGTTTCATTCATATTCATTGGAGTTAGGTGAATCTATGTCAATTCTATGCAAGTGATTAGCGCATTTTGTTACACCAAGTGTAAGAAGTGAAAAGTCAACTAGAAAGTAACAATGAGAAGGCTTTTATGCACTACGAACTGCAGCGGTGCATACTATAAATAGAACGCAATTATATGAATCACACGAATCATCATTACGTAAGTAAGTTATTACAAATTTCTCCCAATAACGAAATAGAATTAGAAATAGATTATAGCTGGACAAGGCCGACCATTACCTATTCTAAACCAGATTGTTCAACACAATTTTCATTATTAAACACAAAAATTATATTTTGTTTCTATATAAAGCCATATTTTTCATGTACGTATTTATGGTAAAGCGGGCCACATAATGTAGTACAAGTTTAGTCCTTACATAGGACAAAATCCAAAAATGGGCGTAAATGTTCCAAATTTTGACAAACTCATTTTTATATGAAATTGCTATAATATTATGGGTCAATTTCCATCATCACATATTAAAACTTAAGACTTTTCTGCTCTACAGAGAATCAACTTTCGTGAAAATTCTTATTAGGGTAGAATCCAAAATATACGCCGAGTTTGTCTAAGTTCGGTACAGTTAAGCTTTTCAAATTACTATTATGATAGAATTTCTATCGTGAAGCATTGAAAATTATACCTTTTTGTCGTAGGAACTACAGTTTTCGTTATATGAGAGGGGATTCAAATATTGCCCCAGTCGGTCGAAAGTTTTCATACCAACCGAAGTACTACTACTTAGCTATTTTTCCCAAAGGACTTACCACTCATGGGACATCTTATATGAAGTGGGGCCAAGAAATAGACCCATGTGTTTCCAACTAGGTCCTCTTGCAATCATAAACACATTTCCATCACATAAAAATTAACTATTAGTCTTTTTTGACAATTAAAGGTTTACATTTCATGAGAATCCTTATAAGCGATGTAAACCAAAAAATAGACCTACATGGCCTAAATTAAGCAAGGCAGATTTCTTTGTCAATTTACTATTATGAGCAAATTTTCACCATGAAATATTAAAAATCTATTTTGCCACATAAAGATTCAGTTGTCGTAGGATCGGTTATATGAAAACGGGTTACAAATTTTGCAGCCGCTGATTCAAAGTTTTCAATTCAGAATGCCGAAGTATCATTACTTAGCAACTTTTGTCGAGAAATATTGAAAATGGCAATTTTTTTCCATACAAGGTCTTTTCGGAATAGAGAATTACGTGGCAAGTGGCCGAAAAAGTGTACCAATCCGAGTCATTTTCAATAGCGCCCGTCTACTGTACCAAGTTTCGTAAAAATATCTTAAAAATGGCCATCTGCAGCTGGAACAAAAATTTACATCAGACAGATAGACAGAGTTAGATCAATTCAGATTATGATTCTGTGTCGATCAGTATAATAAAAGGTGGGTCTATCTTAAGCCCTTCTGTATGTTTCGTACATCCGAATTAGCTTAATATACAAGTGTCGTAGGGTATAAAAAAACTTGAGTCTAAATTTATACGATATTAAACTATATATATATAGATGTATGGTGCTATAAATGAATTAGTCTAACAGACGTTATACCTCTGCAATGAAAAATTTTCTTATCCTTTACTGAAGAAAACAGTTGTATGACTTTCGAAATTGGGTTGTAAGGGACCATGTATTTTTTGTTATTTGAAGAAAATATTTTTTTTTTTTCAAATATATAAATTCATATTTGATGTGAGCCATCTAAGTAATCAGAGGAAGTAAATGGTTTCTCAATCTAACGAATCATTCACATTTCTTCTTTGAATATAGTTAGATGATAGAAAATATTAATTTTTAGAAAGACTCGATCGAAAAGGGGGAAAAATTGACAACAATTTGAATTCGTCGAAAAATTACATTACATAATAATCGGTATGTATGTATACAAATATAAACATTTTAAGCTCTATCTCCGACTTGTTTTGATAACATTTTGGATATATCAACACCGGTAAGGGCATTTATAGATGGAGGCAATTGAGCTACGAGACGATTGATATCGTTTAGGAAATTGTCACTGCCACCGATTAAAACAATTTCGTCCGTCTTGGCCAGGGGTGCAGCAACTTCTGAGGCAATCTTTGGTAAAGATTCCAAAACCATATTTGTCATGGCAGCGTCACCGAACTTTTTATAAACGTTAGCCTTTAAGCTCATCTTTTCAGCTTCGGCTTTACCTATCATTTCGATGGCATGGGCTTCCGCGCTTCCAATTTTACGTATTTTATCAGCTACGGCATTTGCTAATTCAATTGTTTGATATTTTTCACCTTCAGTTATAGTCCGTACACGGTAAGCTTCTGCTTCAGCTGGCAACCTCATCGTACCAATAAGTTCTTGTTCTATACGTAATACTTCTTGTTCCTCAATTTCGATTTGCTTACGACGCTCCACCACATCAATTTGTATCTTTTCATTGCATATACTCTGATGTACTACGGCCGATTTTATATCGTAGGCTAATTCAGCTTCAGCCTTCGCTTTGTTGATCTCCTGATCGAATTGTGATTTTTGCAACTGATATTTACGTCTATTACCACCAATTTTTATATCCGTCTCATATTTAACATCCATTGCATTTTTCTCACATTCAGCTTCACGTATGCCCGCATCGCGTTCGGCTTGTGCAACACCGATATTGGCATCGCGTTTCACTTGGGCCGTTTGCGTCTTGCCCAATGAATTCAAATAGTTTACTTCATCCTGAACATCTACGATAGTAAAGGAGAGAATTTCAACTCCCATACCTTTGACATCGGTTTGCGCAACTTCACGTACTAAATAGGCGAATTCTTCGCGATCTTTGTACACTTGTTCAACTTTAAGAGTTCCCAATATCGCACGCAAATGCCCTTCGAGTGTTTGCAATATCGTATTTTCTATCTCTTCTATTGTTTTTCCCAAAAATTGTTCGGCAGCTCGAAGCAAATGTTCATCCTGATCGTTATTATAATCGCTTCCTTTTTTGGATCTCATAAATTTACATTGCGCCACACCGCTTACATTAAGTGGCACACCCTCAGCCGTTTCAACATGCCTGCATTTTGGTTGCACTGTCATAACATTCAAATACAAATATTGCACATCGTTTGTTGCCCACCAAGCCCATGTCCAACCGCCTACGATAGTGCGGACACGACGTCGGCCGCAACAGCCACCAGATATAACTATAACTTCATTTGGACCACTGGTATGAATAGCCCCCATAGCACTTTTTTTTTTGTATTCTTCTTATTTTATATGGCGCAGTTACAAAATTTGCTTACAAGAATCGGAGGAGAATAAGACAATGTATTGAAAATTTTTTCAAAAAACAATTTTTTTTTTTTAAATTACAAATCTGATTATTCTGTATTCTTTTCTCGTCTCAGAAAATGCTTACGGTATATATATGTATGTATATATATATATATATATATAAAGTATCGACAATTATTAAAATCTATTTAAAGTTCTCATATAACGGAAAAATTCTTACATCGAACAACGTATTAGAAAAACAAAATTTCTTATGCAATTAAATCATAGTTTACCCAATCAAAATTCCACTATCGATAATTTCGATATTCGAATTTCGATATCTGTCATGATGCTTATCTTATGTCGCATCCCATAGCATGCCTACGCGAGAAAAGCTTTGAAAATTGTGTTAATCAGCCGTCCAATATTCAATTCGTTTCAATTGAATCTATACAAAAGCAATTCTTGCTGTTTGCACTTAGGAATTTGGGTTGGGACCCGATTTCCCCTCTTCCACCCTATGAAAATAGGTTGCTTCTGTTATCCTTACCGTCACTCGAGAAACGTAGATTTGTTCTTGGGGTTTCCTTCCTAATCAAATTAATAAATGGTGCAATTGATTCGCCCGCATTACTTCGTGAGATTTGCTTTAATGTCCCTAACCGCTTCTCTAGGTACTTTATGTTGATAAAGCTTAGTCAATGCAAATATAACTTTGAACTGTTTAACCCGCTCAGAGTTGTTTGCAAGAACCTAAATGATGTCTATCATCTATTCTCATTAACGGACTCTTTAAAGTCCATTAAAGCAATATTGCTCAACAAGCGCGATTTACCTATGTCGTACTTAAACTGATTTAACCTTAGATTTTGTCATTATGAGTCGAAAATTAATTTGTTGTTAACAATTATCGCTTGCCAAGCTTATGCATGTTTGCGATGGCTTAGGGGTTCACTTGCAATTTGGTCCTGTATCGGTTGTGGGCGTGGCTCTATGCTAATTGTGTACATGCTTTTTTTTTTTTTTTTTATTTTTTTTCCTCCTTATTTGTTTTATTGAACTTATACTAAGTTTTATTATTAAATAATTTTAAGATTTACTTAAGAGCCAATTGAACTCGACTGCCATTTTGTTTTAGTTGAGTTTCTTGTATAAGTGGAATAAATAAATAAATAAATAAATAAAAAATAAAAACCATTAAGGTTCTCATATAACGGATCTCTAAAAACTTATTAGAAAAAAAAAATTTCTTATCTAATTAAATCATTGCTTACCCTAATAAAAAGTCCATCATCAATAATTTCGATATTCGAATTTCGATATCAGCCGATACGCTTGTCTTAAATCTCATTCCATAGCATGCTTACGCATTTTCTAACACGCTCCTGCAGAAAGTCTTTGATAATTGTGTTAACCATCTTATCGACTCGTGTAAAGGTGTATGAGCAAAGGTGAAAGAACTAGTATGATAACAAATCAAAATCGCGTTGATCAGTGCCCTTTAACACTAGAAGTACTGTGAGGTTCAATTTAACCTTTTTCAACTAATGAGCTTAAAAATAAAGTGGTTGTTAGACCAGCTAAAGTTCGAAAAATCTTGTTGACTTTTTATTTATAAGACAATACTTTCAAATACTTATTTCAAACTGAAGATCGGAAGATAAGAAGATGAAATTGGCCACAAACATCCCCTGGTCCTTGGCCCATGATTAGACAAGTAAGAAAATTCGCTGTTATCGTAAGAAAGACAAGAAAAAGTAAAAAACTAAATTTTCATACTCTATCATATCAATTTGGGTTAATTACTCTTTTTGTTTTTGTAAAGTAGAAGAGGAAATTTATTATATCTGTTGTAGATTACGAGTAACGAGTAAAAAGCATGGAAAGTAAAAATGTTTTTAGTTTTTGACAGATTTTTTTTGCAAATTTGTAGTTGGATAGATGGACAGACGACTAGACGAACATGCTTAAATGCATTCCTCACCTGACCAAGAATGTATATCCCTTATAGGGTTTTTGAAGCTTGCTTATTTATTAATTTTAATACATTGCAATATTGGGTGGCCGTGGCCAAGTTTTTCCAATTTGATCCGGATACCATGGAATTATCCATGGAACATATGTTTAAATGTTTATAGATTTATTCGCTATAGTTTGCGATCCCTTCGATCGATTTGGATCCACTTTGAATACCAATCTGAATGCAAGAACTTTCAATGTCTTTGCAAATTTGAAGCCGATAACTTGCTTTTTATGACCATGGGAACGTTTACAAGACACATTACCCAGACGGACAGAGGGACATGCTTAAATCTATGTAGATTTTAATGCTGATCGAAAATGGATACACTTTATAGGATTGCCCAGCCTTCCTTCCGACAAAATAAATACACTACTCATCCGTCATTGCTGAATATGAATATAGTTATGATGTGTTCACATACACGCCCACTATAGGTTAGAAATTGAACAGTCTCGAAAAAGCATCGGCAATTTCTTCATTCTTTCCTCTATAACATTTTGATCTTAATCTTAATACCTAAGAATACTTCGAGGCCATCTTTTGCACGAATGTTCGCCTGTAGTTTCAGTGTTAAAGGTGTATTTTTTACTATCTATTTGTCATCATAATAAAATATTTTTTTAATTATTAATAACATTTACAATATAATTAAATAAATTTTTTAGTAAATTTATGACAAATTTTGGGAACATAATTAGAAAATTAAAATAAATTTAGAAAAACCATGGGCAGCATTCTTACTAGCGGGCCCAATGAAGCTATAATCATATCAGGTGGTTGCGGCTCGAAACAAGTGCGCACTATTGTAGGCGGCTGGGCATGGGCTTGGTGGATTGTCACCGATGTTCAACGTTTATCATTAAATGTTATGACTTTAGAACCGTCATGCGTACATGGACAGACAATTGAAGGCGTGCAATTAGACGTAACTGGTGTAGCGCAATGTAAGGTGAAGAGGACAAAATCGTCTAATGGTCCTGATGAAATGTTGCTTAGAGCTGCTGAGCAATTCTTAGGCAGAGAAGAAGACGAAATTAAAAATGCTTTACTGCAAACACTCGAAGGACATTTACGTGCGATATTAGGAACACTTACAGTCGAACAAGTGTACAAAGACCGTGAAAGATTCGCTTCGCTAGTTCACGAATTAGCGGAATCTGATATACAAGACCTGGGCCTCACAATTGTTTCATTTACAATTAAAGATATACAAGATAACGTTGACTATTTGAGGTCATTGGGTAAATCGATTACTGCCAAAGTGATACGTGATGCTGATATAGGTGTAGCGTTAGCTGGACGTGATGCTGGTATACGCGAAGCGGAATGTGAAAAAAATGCGTTGGATGTCAAATACATGACCAATGCAAAAGTCGAAAATAATGCTCGGGAGTATCAAGTGAAACGGTCTCAATTTGAACAAGATGTTAACAAAGCCAATGCCGAGGCGCAACTGGCATACGATCTGCAATCAGCCAAGGTACATCAGAATATACGAAATGAAGAGGTACAAATTGATGTTGTTGAGCGGCGTAAACAAATCGAAATCGAGGAGCAGGAAGTGATACGAATGGACCAAGAACTTATAGGTCTAGTGAAATTGCCAGCTGAGGCCGAAGCATATCGTGTGCAGACAATAGCGCAAGCCGAAAAATTCGAAGCCATCGCAATGGCTCGTGCTGTATCTGAAAAGATACGAAAAATTAGTTCTGCCGAAGCGCACGCCCTTGAAGCAGTAGGCAAAGCTGAAGCGGAACGAATGCGTTTAAGAGCAAACGTTTATAAGCAATATGGAAATGCAGCCATTCTTAATATTGTCTTGCAATCCCTACCAAAACTAGCTGCTAAAATTGTTACTCCCTTAGCAAAGACTGATAAAATTGTTTTAATCGGCGGTAATAATCCAAGTAAAAGCAAGAGTGATAACTTTCAAAATGAATCGGACGCTCTCAACAAATCTTCTGCGGGAGTAAAAGGCTGCGACCCAAGCCAGTATTCCTGTTCTCTGGCAAGTCCTGTTAAGAAAACCCACGTACCCACAGAAGGCAGCCGCCCAAGCGAGTGCAGATGCGATCCATCTTCATTTGACAGTCAAGGCATACCACTCAATCAGTCTACGACGGTTGCAAAAAAGCAGAAAAAAAATACTTAGATATTTTGATCCAAAAGATTATTGAGCGCTTTACGTGGAAAATCGAAAAAATAAGCTTCCAATCCATCATAATTTTAGTCTTATTTTTACTTACTTATCTGCCTACCCGCATTCCTTTAGTTGATAGAAATTTTTAACGTTATATTTTAAAATTCCCTGATAGTTCTCTGTATTTTTCTTACAAACCCTTCTATATTGTCTTATTAACGAATCATAAAAATATCGTTAAGCTGCCCTTTAAAAAAATTGTAATAAAATTTCTTCTAAATTATAACGGGAATGTTTTGTTTGCTTAAAAATCGCCTTATATCGCTTATCAAATTTCTTAGGAATGTAGAAAGCAACTAGTTTTTCGCTAGAAATTGCTTATTCCTATACCTTGCTTTGTTTGTTTTCTTTGGTTTTCCCTTGAAATAGCCTATTCTCATACCTTGCATTTTTTCCTCTGTCAAATTATCCAGGCATTTTGAAAATCTTTTGGGATTGTGCTTAAGCTTATTAGCCCATTCGAGACCGTTTGCACGCACTGTCTATGCAATTGATATCTGCGGATAAGCAATTGTCAGTCATTCTAAGTAAAGTAACCGTTGAAGTAAGACTTAGTTTGAATTAAAAATATCTGTGCAGTATTAGAAAACAAAATTTTGGCATTGGTTTTACCAAATAACAGATCGTAAAGCAAGAACATGCAGGAAGTAACCAGTGAGAAGGAAAATTATGATTTCATGCTTACACAAAATGAATACGAATATTGAACTTTTAGATGATACACAGAATAATGTTTTTGACGAAAGTCATTACGACTATTTAGTGAAAATGGCAGTGAACGTAATATTGAATAGCATCAAAGTGAACACATTGAATACATTGAGATATGGAAAAATTATCGTTGTCTTCCAAAAATTTCTTTTGTCGGTGAACCTGATCTTGAAAATTTACCAGTCGAAGATTGTATGTATGATTTTTTTTGAATTTTCATTTGACAATACCTTTCCTCTTATAATTGTGAATGATATAAATGTAAACACAAGAACAGGAAATTTATAACGTGTGATTATTCGCACCAATTGTTTCTAAAAAGGCTCTTTTGACAAACGAATCTGTTACAAAACTTTACATGTAACAATATGTATATTTATTAATCTGTATTATTGACAAATATATGAAATCATTTGCTAGCATATTTGAGGTAAACTAAAGTAATTTCAAACGTCTCGCAAGATTCCTTTGCCGCCAATCTCGATGTCTCTCTATTGCCCAATAAAGTAATGTGAGCAAAAGGATAATTTTGTCCGATGTTTCCTTGATTATTTAATAGCAATATTTTAATATTTTTCTTTTTTTGTTTGTTTAATAACTAGGTTAGGCCTGTTGGCGATAATAAGAATGATGAATTTTTATTATTTATTGATTCTTTGTGCTTCATGAACGATAGCGACAGTATATGATGTATGGAAAGATTGATAATACAGAATTAATTACAAGCTTTGGCTTAATTAAGAATATTAATTGGACAATTGGAGCAAAAGGCCAAAAAAATGTGAAATGATTTACTTATTTTTTACAAATATAAATTTCTTTATAATTAAACTATTTTCTTTGGAATATATTTTATTTTCAATTTGTTTTCTCTTCTAAATGAAACTTTAAACAATCAACACTAAAGTGAGGAATATTTGCTTTGACAAATTTGAGAGAGCGTTTCTCGCAACTCTTTTGCATAGATATAGCAAAAAAACTCGAATCTTGAGAATGAAACCTTGTTAACGCTATATATAATTAGTGTCCATGTTTCTACTATTAAACAGTATTCTTAGTTGCGATGGCAACCCCGCTTGTAAATAATTTATGTTAATAGATAGTGTTGATCCTGGCAACTTTACGTTCTTCATGTATTTCGTCATGAAGGCTCATTCGTAACTTTTCCTTTGTTAGTTGAGCGTTCCGATATTTGCATCTTGCAATCCTTTTAATAAGTGGTAAGACATTTTAAGTATGCAAATTTAAATTCATACCACTTGGTAATAACTCTTGCGCAAAAACTGTTACTGTATTAAATGGACATTTTTTTGGGAAAACAAGTAAGAAAATAATTTTCTTTATGTAGAAGCAAGACTATGTGTATTTCGTTACAAAGTTTATTACACAAGTCTTGAATATATTTTTTTGTTTTATATTTATTCTAAAGGTTAAAATGGACATATTGGCTGGACATTTAGCGGTTGGATTCATTCAATCTTAATATCTTTGTAATAAAGCAAATTTTAGAAGAGATGAAACGTCTACCTTCCTAAGTTCGCAAAGGCAATAGAAGCCTCATCCATCGCAATGGTAAAAGAAAACGAACTTTTTTATAGTCCAATTTTAATTTTTTAAATATGTACATTGACAGTAACACAGAAAGCACTGATCTCCATTTGAAAGATTTTCTAGAAGTTACCTAACGTGCGTGTATAAATATTTGTTTATTTTACAGATTTTAACTTAAAAGAAATCATTTAAGACGACTTTCGGTTTTAATTGACGCGTTAAGAGGTGTTGCGCAAAATATTTTTAAAATTTATCAACATTATATATATAAATATAGGTTTAAAAGTTATTCATCTTATTGGTTTAGTCCATCTTAACTCAACATCCAAAAAAAAAAAAAATTTATTTTCTGTTTAAACCAAAAAGGAGAAAAAAAATGACGTCTGTGAGTTTGCCTTATTATTGAAATTATGATTTCGATGTAGTTTTCTGCATAGGTTATGGTTCATTTTCAAAGTTTTTAAAAGTTTCCTATCACCCTTGTGAAATAATAAATTGTGAAAAAATGCGTATTTGGGTAAGAAATTTCTCGAAATTTTGTTTAGTCTGAATTCTCTTTATTAAAATTGCCTTGTCACGGAAGAAGACTACATTAATCGGCAGAAGTGGCGAAAGAGTCCTTTGTCAGTGCTGCCAGCTTTTACCAAAATACGTTCTGCGTAAACGTACGCCATGTTTGATGATCTTGTCCATTTCAAGTCGATTAAATTTCTTCTTCTTGGTTTATTTTCAATATTTCTTGGTATGTCAACAAATTCCTCTAAGAAATCCCAGTATTTCCTGTGTATTATTTAATTCCTGCATTACAGGAGAAGCGACGTATGGTTCGCGATAACTGAAGAAAGCGGATTTTCTCTTTTGAAGCAATGGCGTTCCCGGATATAAAGATTTGTATGCATTATCTTGATCATCTTCACCCATGAGATTCTTGCGATTGTTATTTGTTTCACCAGTAACTGCGAAATTTACATTTGCCTCTTTATCTTCTGTGCTCTGCAGTATATTCATTTTACCGCCAGTTTCTTTCTGATAGTCTAATGAACCTTCTAAAGAAAATGATTTATCACATCCATTGTAGTCACTAACGTTAAAGAATGAACGTCCCTTTAAGGAGGCAGTGAGTGAGTCGAGACTATTGTTTATGCTTTTTTTAGGTGTTTTGCATGGAGTACTATTAACTGTTCGAGACTTCATAGGAGAGATAAAGAAATTACTCGCGATTGGTGAAGTAATATTGCTACCATTTCTAGGCGGAGTTTTCAAACGACGGAAAAATTTATTAGCCTGTTCCTTGCTCATTGGACCAGAAATAGCTTTAACTTCCACCTCTGGACTTAAGGGATCACAGTTAAGTTTTGGTGGATTGTTTGAAGAAAATGGTTGGCCAATTTGTGCTGGCATGCATCCATCATTAGATCGCAACACGGGAACATAAAAACGTTCTCCTAATAACATTTCAATCTTTTTAAGAACATCTGCATTCGGATTGCTCAACCGCGAGCAAATGATCTGTTTTGGGAGTAAATCTTCACTATTTTTTGTCAGCTTACATTCCGGATAGGAGGTTAGCAGTTCCACCATCTCGACGCAACCATATTTCGCGGCTAAATGTAATGGTGTTTCACTGCATCCTTTCACCGGCATATTTAAATAATAATCTAACAGATTTGCGCACAATTCTTCACACATTTTTTGATCGCCCTTTTTACCAGCCAGCAAATCGACAAATTTTGGTTCATATACAGTCTTTAGAATAAGTTCAGCTACTTGAGGTTTTTTTGAAATTGCACATATATGCATGGCATTATTACGATAACCTTCTTTCAATGTTGTTGGCGTATCGCCAGAGCTTACTAGGTACCTAGGATTATCCCAAATAATATTTTTAACGCGATCACAATCGCCAGATTCTATTATTTTTCGAAATTCAATAAGCTCGTGCTTAGTGGGAAGTCGAAAGGCAGCCTTTTCCAGTGAGATAGTAGAAGCCTTATTATCGTTATATTTATTTTGCACTACTTCATAACCAGTTTGGGCATATTTAATGGCCTCATCTTCACTAACAAATTCCTTTAAACGGGCATCCTTGTGTTTCTTTAAAACTTCTAAGGCATCAGATTTTTTACGGAAGACGTAAGGAGAATCAACGGTATCATTACCGCCGTTAGACATAACACCACTGCCAGATGCAGATGTCGCACTGCTTGGAGCCGCTGCGATAGAAGCTACGCCAACATGTAAACCGTAAAAAGGCATAGTTTTGCATGAAAGCTAGGCCGCAATTACAAATCCTTTATTTTATAAAATGCTCCGCGATTTACCAAGCTACCGATCTATTTCCGTTATTAGCGAATTTCGCAACTTTTTTTGAAGGCTTTTCTATTTTAATAAATTTTCCGTCGAAAATTCTCTTCAAACTTTTTTTTTTCTAATTTGAGGTATACTGGAACATTTTACATTTTATAATGAATGTTGTTTTTATTTTAACTTAAGATATAATATTTTTTTTAAATTCTTTCCCTCTAGCAAAATGCATCTTCTTTTTTTCTTTAAATTTCATAGAATTTTTCTATTAATTACGTATCAACTTTTGCTCAATCAACTTAATTATTTAGGTTTTCCAAGAAAACAAATATTTATTCAATTTAGAATCATCAAAAAAAACGAATTTTCAATCAACATTGAATTATTAACAATAATCAACGAACGGAATTCTTCAATTAACTCCTCCCCTCAACTACTGCTTCGTTTAAAATCTACATATAATATTTGATATAATCAACTGTTCTAAATTGCTTTGAAATTTTTTTAATACTTTAGTTTTTTCAAATTTCTAAAATTATGTACAATTTTTATTAACATTTCTCCATCTGAGAAACTAATGTTTTGATGCGTTCATAAGAAAAATGTGGAAATTCAAAACGACTATTCAGATCAATCAACGCCGCATTGTCAGCAATCAATGAAATGATCTTTAAGGAACGTTCCTTGCCTTTGTGCTTTTAAAACTTTATAATATGGAGATATTTAAGATTTATGCATCAATCAACATATCATTGACTTAGTCCGTTAAATCTCAACTAATTCATTATCAATTACAATCAATGAAAATACAATCCTTATGGAAGAATCAACAATCAACTTTCCTAGCAGAAGAATCTACAATCAACTTTCCTAGCAGAAGAATCTGCAATCAACTTTCCTAGCGGAAAAGTCTTCAATCAACTTACCTAACGGAATAAAGCTCAAGAAGTTTTCTGCAACAAACGAAGAGCATCAAAAATTGTTCTGGCCAAATAATGTGCAGTAACTTTTTTCAAATTAATTTAAAAGAAAGGTGACTATCGGTACAATTTATTGCTCAAAGTAATCGAAGAATTGACTGCAATCAAATTTTTCTTCTGAAGTTTTCAATAGCGTTAAATGTAGACATTTAAATATTTCTCATTTTGTTTCAACATACTCGCAGACTTGGATGCTATAGCATTCATCTTTATTGTGATTCAGATTTTAATGACAATTATTTTTATTTAATTTTATATAAGATTAATACACTAATGACAATTATTTAAAAAATTCTTGCCATTATAAAGTTTGAAGGCTAGATAAATCGGGCCAAGTAAAAAATCGAATTGAAAGTGTTTTTAGCTTATTAATATATCTTCTTTTTTTTTTATTTATAATATTGCTTATTAGTGCAAAACATGTTTTAATCCTTTCTTTTGTTCTTCTAGCCAAACATCTCTTTAAAAGTTGAAAGAATTTATCAATTGATATTGGATGAAGGGAAAGATTTGCGAGATTTTTTTTTTTTTCAACTAAATCACTCAAAAATCTGTGATTGCAATACTAACGTTACCAAATCATAACAGGGCGCGTGCAGAAGTGTTACCCATAAAGAATTGACAATTGTTAATTCAGTCTAAGCTATCGGTGCGTTTAAAATGAATTAAATGAGAAATTGGAGTATTATATAAGTCTGCCAAATTCATCTTCAAAGTGGTATTGCACCGATTAATACAAGGCATGTCGCCTAACCTACAAACGAGAAGTATTCTCTACCTCAATACATAGGGCATTATTGATTCAGGCCGCATATAATGACAACAGCTATGACAACAATAACAACGGGCAACAATCGCAGTGACAACCAATCCAGCAACACCAGCAATGACTTCAATAACAACGTGAAAAAGCTAAAGTGTGGAACAGTTCAAGCTCTACACCATATATGCGTACCATATATGGTACAGAAAAAATGAAGCTCGTGCGTATATATGTAACTTCCAGGATGATTTAAGGTGGACCCACCTTTTATTATATCCAATGGCAAAATTTTTTCGGTGGTGTATGGTTCAACATGTTCAACAAAAAGAGTGCAATTTTTTGGCATATATCAACGAAATTCAATGTAAAAAGGTGTGTTGGAGCAAAGGTCAGAATGTATTGCAAAACGATTTGATTGAAAGATGTTTTGCGGCCATTCCTCATTCATTCTCCTATTTTCAAAAGGCTTTTATACAAAAAGAATAGCGATGTTCAACATTTTGACATACGATATCGATGTCACGACAACCTTAACATGGCAAGGTGGTCGAATTTTTACAATTTTATGTTGAATGTCTCGCTTTAGTAATAACTTGGCATCAAATCATGGTTAACTAACTATACCAAATATGACTCAACTTTATAAAGATTCCAAAGAAGAGTGTCTTTAAGAGGAAAAAGAGATATGCCAATTAGTCCTTGCCTTGCCGGCCTGCAATGTTTTTGTTTCTTTGCTTTGCTAACGTATTGCATTCTCAACGTATTTTTTTTGGAACGTATACTTTAAACAGCCTAATCAAAGGTACTTTGAAATAATGAAAAATGCTCCAGTTAAAAGGAAATAACGTTTTAATATAATTAATTAAAAAAAGGTACTCGAAAATTGCATCCCATCATCAACTTAAGGCAGTGAAAAAATCAACCATCAACTTTCCTAGAAGAAAATTCTGCAATGAACTTTCCTAGAAGAAAACTACAATGAACTTTCCTAGAAGAGAACTCTACAATCAACTTTCCTAGAAGAAAACTGCAATGAACTTTCCTAGAAGAAAATTCTGCAATCAACTTTCCTAGAAGAGAACTCTACAATCAACTTTCCTAGAAGAAAACTGCAATCAACTTTCCTAGAAGAGGAGTTTACAATCAACTTTCCTAGAAGAGGAATCTACAATCAACTTTCCTAGAAGGAAACTCTACAATCAACTTTTTTAGAAGAAGACTCAACAATCAACTTTGCTGACGGAATAACGCTCAACAACTTTCCCAACAGAAGAATCTTCAATCAACGTCAATGCAAAAGAAAAAAGAAAAGATATTAAGAAGTAAGATATTTTCAAAATTATTACACAACAAAATGAACGCCAGTGTTTTCTGATGTAAATGTACATATTTTTAATGCAATCATTTAAACATTTCACATTGCTTTCGTATCAAAATTTCATTTACTATTAAATGTAAATTGAGAGATTTTTCAGTAAACTGAATGCGATAAGGAGCCAATGGAAATGCAGCGGAGCGCAGTGTCTGTCAAGGTTATACATGTGGAGAACGATCCCGTTTTCGCTTATAAATACAAATACCAATTAAAGGTGGTTCCCGTATTGATGATGCTTTCACCGCTTTCAATTCTTTGAAAAATATGATTTATTATATCCATTACTTAATGACGAGGGATATATTAATTTTGTCACAACATTTGCGACCGCCCAAAATACATCTATATCTATTCTTGACCACCATCAGATTCTGAATCGTTTGTCCGTCTGTCCGTCCATCTTCGCAATGTTTGTTGTAAACATTGTTCTGACTGCAAAAATGAAGCTGTCGACTTCAAATTTGACAGAAACATTGAAAGTACTTGCACGCAGATTTATATTGAAAATGGGCCAAATCGGACAAAGGACACATCTATAGCACTACGTAAACCGACACCTCCTCGGTTTTTTGAAAGGAATAAAAATTTGGATATTTTCTCATTACTCATAAACTATAGCATATAAATGTACAAACATTTGACAGTATATTATATGAGCGATGGAGGATCTCCACAAAAATGGAAAAAGTCGGCCACGCCTTTTTACAGACACACAAAAGCAAATCCAAATCCCCATTAAGTATATAAATTGTTGGCCAGTTTCAAAGTAGGAATGTGCCTAAGCATTACCTTTCATTCATTTGTCCCTCGGTCCGTCTACGTGGTGTCTGTGGTAAGCATTCCTTCCCTTTGCAGAAATGAATATATCGCTTACAAACTTGCAAACTTCTAGGATCCCGGTGATGGGTATAAAAGATTCGGTCATGGCGGAATATATTTTTCTTACTTTATTTTTAAATTCAAATGTGATCCAAAGCATGCATTGGATATGAATTATAATTGTCGTCAATTACTGAAAAGGAAAATTAAATTGTCATTAATAATTGATAATATTTTTATTACTAAATTAAGAATAAATGAAGAAAGTATATGTTTCAGAATTTTCAAATTCACATTACGTATGTAATTTTACCGGTAAAAATTTAGCTCAAAGCAATTTAGATATTACTTATGTAAATTTAACGTGAATATACGTAATTCAAAATTTCCAGAAAATATTGACAGTCTTTTAGTTTGCACAGCAGCGGTTAATACTGAATCTCTGCATCAATATAAGTGGAGACTTGAATATGAAAACATTTAAAACACTTTCACCAACGTTCTGAACGCTCGCATGCTGATATGTAAACTATCAGCAATAATTAAAAATTGAGAATTTGTAAATAAATTTGAAACAAATGGTGGTGGTCCTTGTGGATCTCCTTTGAATACAGTCTTGACTTGACTAGCCTAGCCCTTAACGGGGATTGATGGAGACCTTCAATAACATTTCCAATTGTTTACATTGATCATAGCGGGCTTGATATATTTTTGCTCCTCTCCTTTTTTTTAAGTAAATGCGAACGTGTGTAACACACAGATGGGCTTAAAATAAACCTATCTTTTATTATACCGATCGATTTATTTACCGAATCACAATCTGAATTGATCGAAGTCTGTCTGTCCGTCTGTTAAAGTAAATTTTTGTTCAAGCTGCAGGTCGCAATTTTTGAGATATTCTGATGAAATTTGGTACAGTGACGCTATTGAAAATGTTTCAGATCGGTCCACTGTTTTGACGACTCCCTATATAACGCTTTATTCTGAAAAAAGTGCAATTTTTGAAATTCCCGTCAAAACTGGATAATTAGCAATATTTCGACCTTCAAAATTCATATGAAAACTTTAGACCAGCTGTGGCAAATTTTGAATTTCATATAACGTAAAATGAAGTTCATGCGACAAATGTCTATAATTTTCAATGGTTCATAGTGCAATTTACATCTCTATATGAAGTGGAGTTGATACGACAAATGTCTATAATTTTTAATGCTTCATAGTGAAATTTATATCTATATATGAAGTGAAGTTGATGCGACGAATGTGTATAATTTTCAATGCTTCACGGTGAAATTTATATCTATTTATGTATATATATACAAATATATAATTTTAATTGTATATAATTATATATAAACTTAAAACATAAAAAAATGAACTGTGCCAAACTTAAATCATTTCCGCCTGTTTTTTGGATTTTACGCTAGGATTTCTACATAGGGTTTCACGAAAATTGATATTAGTGAATAGTAATTTGACATAAAAAATTATATAAAAATACGTCAACTTTGGAAACTTTTGGGCACAACCAACGGAACGCAAGACTTCGTTGGGAAAGAGGTATAATTTTTAATATACAGTCCCGTAATAGTTTGTTTTTCTAAACAGAGTGCATAATATTTGTAGCCGACGGTAAAAATAAGCATTGTTTTGACAATGCAGTACTTAATAGCCAACCTAACTCGACTATAAAGTTTTCACCTGTTTTTAACGAGAGTTTTTTTTTATTAAGAGATATGATTAAATCACTAAATGGGGAGATATAGGTCGAATAAAATAGTTATGCTGGCTTTGGGAAAATCGATAATATAGCTTTAAGTGGTTCAATAGATGTTTAAAATGAATAAAAAATATGCTTACAGCACTATTAGTAGATATATTATAAAGCAATCAATTAATTGCCAATGGTCAATCTGGGTCGACTAAACAATATTTTCACTTTTTTTTAACAAAATCTTCGATTTATTCTTATTATTAATTAGTACGAAAAATTTCCCCCGAAAAGAAATAAGAATGTGTATAAGTTTTTTACAAGTTATTATATTGCTTTGCATGGCAACTCTGTTTTTCCCCACATATCTTGTTTTGCCATTGTTGTTAGTACTGAAAGTGAAATAAAAGAAATTAGAAAAATCCAGAACGAGAAAGGGAAGATTTTTTATTTAAATTGAAGCGTTTTGGCCACGCATTAAAGAGTCCAGAAATTTAAAATTAATTTCCTTACATTGTTATATATTTGATAGTGAATAAAGCAACATGACACGTAAGTAAAGAAAGTTACCAAACGTACTCTCGAATGTTGGGAGATACAGCAGCAGTTTACTGGTTATCAATGACAGACAATAGGATGGAACATTTTTTTTTCGCATCAACATGTAAACAAACCTAAAATTTCTAGTCGATTTGTTTATTATCCTATTGCTTACTAAATTTAATTTTGTCTGTTACCTTAGCCAACTGCTGTTCCCTTTTCTTCTCTTTAATTGATGCCATTGATTATATTGTTTATTGCTACTGTCTTAGGTGGTAATCAGCGAGATCTTGCACGACAAAAAAATCTAAAAAAACAAGCTGAGCTAAACAAAGGGAAACGTAATGATAATCTTACCGTTGAGCAACGTAAAGCGAGGTAAATATTTGCAATTCCCCTTTAAATACTTGATTAAGTTTCGAATTTTTATGCGCAGAGATGCTGAGGTAATGCGAGAAAAGCAACGAAAAAAGGAAGCGGCAGAAAACCATCAGCAAATGAGTAAAGTGAAGTAGGATTTCCTAACTTTTCGTTTCCTTATCTCCTCCCTTTCTATTTTTCGGAAAACAACTGCGAGCGAAATTCTTCATAGGTTTGTTTTAATTGAAAGCAGATGGACGGCCAAAATGGGTGGAAAATGATAACAGTAATCAAGTTGGTCAAATTGCGATATATATCATAATCACACGGCGAAGACGCCAGCAATCAAGAGAATATTGAAAATTCAGGACTTAAATGAATACAAAATTGTGACGAAAAGAAAAAAAAAGTATTTACGTTCTCTAACCACGAATCTTGAATGCGTGCATATATACGTACATACGGTTCGTGCAAAGCGTATATTTACACTGGGAATTTTGTGTAAATTTAGACTTAATTCGTTAAATAATTTAAATTTAACGACAAAATCAATGTATTATATTTACATTTAATGCACGAAAGGAAGATAGAACAGTTCTATTCATGCTGTCATAATTTCGGAAAAAAGTTATATCCTTATTTTAAAATCGCAAAAATGCACGCAAAGTTTAGTTTTAAATCTGCACCAACTAACGTGAAAAATTAGTAATGAATTTATCATTATTCCTCATAAAAAGGATAGAGCCAGTGAATCAACATATTGGCCCCGCCATTTTCTTTCTTCATTTTTTTTTTTTATCAATATATTTGATTCAGCCTAAAAGATTTGTATAAATATCAAGTGCAAAAAAAAAAAATATTTTATTATTTTATCTTTTATGTAATATTTATTATGAGAAAAAGAAATTGAAAACGAGTAACTATAAAACGAACAATAATTTCAATAAAATTTAATAACAATCTATCATTTCTTTTTTACTATTACTACAAGAATTTTGTTGAAAACTTTTATTCTAGTATAAGCCGGAGATAATATGATTAATGTATGATGATAATATGTAATATGTTTAGATGATAATAAACATTTTAAGTGTGTAAATCGAACCAATTACTTCACTTGCCTTTAGTCGACTTACAACCAAATCGGATAGCAAATTTGCATTTAATGGGCTGACAGTCCTCGGTATCTTTATTTTGTTCTGAGCATACATATCATATCACAAATCTGTTGTTGCAAATGCAACGAAAGAGAGCAATGGAGTGCCGTAAAACCAAAGGGCGTTTCGTATGATAGCCCGTAGTTTAATACCTACATGAAGGAAGGAACAAAGACATTCGGGTATAAAATACCAAAATATTATACTCGACTGACACCCACAAACGGTTGAATGTCTTGTCTGGCGAGTAGCCTGTGTTCCAAAAAGATCTTTTTTTGCTACTAAGGAGTAGGTCTACTCTGAATTTAGGTCCATGGATCGGGTAATAAAAAGCTTCTTTCCTAAATTGTAAACGATGGAATGTGAGTTCCAGCTTGTGCTTTTTTCACATCAAAAGTCAAGTCCGAATCCAATAAAATCATATATAAATTAAGCGTTTTTTTCGTCACAAAAAGTAAAACTTATTCAATTCGTTGTTCTCACTTTTATTCCCCTATTTAATCATAACCCGTCACAGGTACGTAAATGTTAAGCAATACTGCAAAATATCAAACAGAATAAGTCGTGGCGAAACTCGGGTCAATGGTTTTGATCATTTAAATCCATGAAAAAGGAGTCAGAAAATTATATTCAGTTGGAGCTAAATATCTCTCACCATTGAAACCTTTAGAGTCCCATGCTTTTGTTTATGATTAAGCAAAAGTGATTGGAATAGAACTTATACTCCATCTTCTAATTCACTGAAAGGTATTGCTAAGAAAAATTAATACATGCTGACGTCCACCGTAATTAATTTGCAATTAATGTACTCAGCTTGTCGCATTCTACTCTTCAAGACCTTTTATTTGATAACGCTCTTAATATTAAGAAATAATTAATCCACCACGTCGTGGTGTCTACCATATTTATTTTAGATACAACATATTTTTAGGCAAAATACTTTCAGTTAAGAAATGTATAAAATAATGTTAAACGTTCTATCTTGTTTACCTCATAAGCATAAAAGGACCGAAAAAAAAGGAAAACTCAATCACGAATAACATTTTGTGGGCGTGGACGATTTTTTCCATTTTGCACATAAATGGCAGAGCTTTCTATCTTTCAGAATTTGTGAGTAATGAGCAAAAATCCATTAATTTTTGCTTAGAGAAACGAGGTTGCGTTCTGCTTACGCTTTACTGCGGGCGTGTGCTCTGAGAAATGTTGACCCATTTGCAATACCAACTTGCGCGCAAGAACTTTTAATGTTTGTACTAAGTTTGAAGCCGGTGACTTCATTTTTGCGGCCACCGCACAGATCTACAGACATGGCTTAATCGATTCAGAATTTCGTGATGATTAAGAATATATAGCGTTATTACGACAAAATGAGTGCGCCCTCTTTCTTCAGTAGTAAGTATATGAAAATCATTCACAAGCGTGATTATGCGTGTGAACTTATTCAGGAGAAATTCTAAAAACATTTTAACAAAAAACTCCACTACAAATAATGTTTATGGTATAAAAAGCAGACGAATGCCAAATAATGTGGTGACTGCAAAACAGTCTCGCGTCAACAAAAATGGGCAACATCAGGAAAACATGCAGTAACAAGTTGTATAGACATATTTTCACTTATTTGGCCATTAACGGAATGGAAAACTATGCATCGACCATATTTAACAGAGTGCATATCTCGTATACCATAACAAATAAGACATTATATGCAGCTTGGGTCGAATATATTAACACCTACCATTATCTGTCGTTGGCTATTTAGAAGCAGGGTTAAAGCGAAACATATCATATATATTTTGAATGGTATTTTCATAGGACTTTTATGCGAGTTCATCGATTGTTACGCATACTATTGCGCAAACATATCGTGAAATTTGAATTTCATCACTTTTCTTATGTCAGAAAGACATGCCTAACAGATTCTACAATTTATACTAAATATACGCATCATTTGCACAGATTAAAATATGATAGGAAAAGCTAACATTTTCATTAGTTTCTTCAGATTTTTTTTTTATTATACTGATCACTTCAAAAATTGATTCTGATTTGTCTCCGTTTGTCTGTCTAGTTTTTTTCTGTTCAATCTACAGATTGCCATTGAAATTTAGTACATCGATATATATACTTGGAAAAGTCGTTATATGAATAACACTATTAAATGAAGTGGTGGAGGGGAATTTACTTGCGGACCATGTCCTTTCATAGTGTAACCACTTTTTTTAGTTTTCAATTACTATCGGAATTCTGAATGAAAACATTAAAAGATTTTGCTCTTTTGCAAGCGACATCAATACATCATTCGTGTATTGAAAACATTCAACATTTCATTTCAACCGCAATACGCAATACGCGTGGATTAATAATTATAATTATTCGTTATCTAAGAAGTGAAGCTTTTAATATTAATCAATCCATAGAGCAATATTAAATCAAAATGAGAATGTAAAAATTCCCCAATGAGAATGTAAAAATTTCTCATTTATTTCAAATTGCATTTAACATAAGCAAGTAATGAGAAACTTTTTTCTCTCACTCTCAGCTTTGTATATCGGAAACAACTAAATAGCAAGATGGTGCAATATTTTATTCAAAATTCAATATCACGGCGCATGTATTCACCTAAGAACAGAGGTTATGTATACTTCTGCTTTGCAAGCGTTTGAGAGAAAGCAATGCCATGTTACTGAAACCATCAACAGAATCTTTGCCCGAGAGCAAGCAATCAAATTGCTGCTAATTAACAGCTTTATTATTCTTATTGATAATGGAAGCACAAAAAGTCTCTAATTGGATTCCTAGTTTGCGTTTTAAATAAGATGTTAGACCAATTTTGTTGTCTCTGACAACAAAACAAGATCTTGTGCAAAATTCAAGCTAAGCTATATGTATACCATTGACAGCAGAATTGTATACGCTTTTGATGTGCAAGCGTTTGAGAGAAGGTGAGGAACTGTTAACAGAATTTTTGTCAATGCGGATGAAGGCGCAAGCAATCAAATTTCTGCTAATTAACAGCTTTTGTTTACTTCTTCTTTCTATTCATATTGATAACACAAACACAAAAAGTGTTTAATAAGTATTCTTAGATTACATTTGGGCTATCTTGCCTCTGATTTAATGTAAGCAAGTGAAGGAAGTGAGCAGAAACTTTTTTTCTCTCGCGCGCAGCTTTATATATCTTATACAACAAAGTAGACGTTCAAAACAGATCATCGTAAAGCCAGCAACAACACAACAACAAGTATAAAAGTGGTTGTAGTAAAAAATACTAAAACAATCAACACCAACAGCAACAAAAACGAATAATAAAAGTCAAGCAAATGTAAACAACTTTTGGTTTAAAAAAGGGAAAAAACATTTTGCATTCACTATCGAGAATTGAGTGAGAGAGGACCTCGTCAACGCGTTGTAAATAAATTAAACTCGCATAAATGACGTGAGACGAAACATAAATTGAAAATAAAACTGAGAAAAATATAAGCAAAGAAAAAATATTTTTTAATTTTCTTTTGAAAAGAATTTCTTTTAATATTATAATTATTAATAAATTAATAAAAAAGGTGAATAAAAATAAGGATTACGTATTTGTTCAAAGAAATATTTGTATATATATATATCTATATATGAATGCGAACATATGTGCATAGATAAACTAAAAAACGCACATTACTTTTATAAATAAACATAAAGAAAAAGCTTTACTATATGGTTGACTGTTGTGTTTTCAAGATCAAGTTTAAAAATAATTTTATGCATATTCAATTGTTTTTTTCATATATGAATATCTCAATATAAACAAAAATTTTTGGAAATTTTTTTTAATGCGAATAAAGATGAAATATAAAGGTTTTCCAAGAAACAGAAGAGAAAGAAAAAAAAATTGAAATCTTTTCTGCGCATTTTGCTCATATAAAAATTATAATAATATCAAATACAAGTAAATAAAAATATGAAAGTGGATAAAGTAAATAACCAAAGAAAAAGAAAATGGTAGAGAGCAAGGCGCGAAAAAAATAAACTATATCAGGTTATTGAGTATATGCATAATTCCATGTGAATATTGCAATAGCTTTTTTTTTTTTTTTTTCTCTTTCGCAATATGAGAAATATTGTGCATGGAAATTTAAAAAAATACATGGTTGTTTTGAAAAGAAAAAGTCAGTATAAAATTCGGATCATTTGGTCGAGCATTTGCAACTATAAAACGGATCAGAACCGCATCGTAGTAACTGGTAAAGAAAAAATAAAGTAAAGGAAAGGAAAACTCGTGTAATTTTATCGCAAATTCATAAACTCGCAAAAAAGTCGACGAATGTTATGAGCTAAAGTGGATTTTAGAAATGATTTGACGAATTCCGTTGCTTATACGGGATGTTCCAAAGTTGAAGCAAGTTTTAATTAAATAGAATTTTTTAAATGTAATCTTTCTATCGAATCGGGTTATGTGAGGAACAGCTCCATGGCTTCGCCGGCATATATGTACTCTTTCATCGAAATTCTGATCACCGAAGCAAGAGAGCACACAATATGGGGGATTGCTTCATGGAGTAATTAGATTTTCCACGGAGCCGGGCACCGTCCTATTGAAACCACTTGTCCTTCACATCAATGTCATCCAATTTTGCCAGCGCGATATCAAGCATTAGTAACAGTCATTAGCTTGCCTTAAGTTATAGTGAGCGCCCAATCAGTAGAGGCATCGAATCCACTATGCTGCGGTCATTATTTCCTCACTTCTT